CTAAACAAAACCTGACCTCGGGGGAAGACACAAAAGTGGTTGTTTTAGCCAAGGTACTGCTGGCTCAGGCTCCGTACATGAGGCTGAGCCCAGAGATGAGCTTTTGTGCAAACAGGAACCAGTTTGGTTGCACTGGACGGGACCATTACTTGGAGCTCCTTATGAGATTGCTGCCCTGTTCTTCAGCACAGTTTAACTCAGCGATATGTTTAAGGCATTGCTTTTTTTATTAGAGTTATTGTAACACTGAGTTGTCTTTTATCTGATAAATCTGAATACCAAGGCAGTGAAATGGGTCTTGATTTTTTTGGCCAGAACTGAAGTGAAGCCCGTGCCTTGCCACCACAGGTCCATCCTTCTTCAGGGTTTGCTACTCAAACATGGCCAGACTGGGAGTTACGGGAACTGGCTAGGCTATCCTCCTGTACCAGAGGAAGTGAAAGGGGCCTGAAAAGATGGTCTCGTTGTTAAAGACTTGGTCAAGGATATCAGGGTCTTCCCAGGCAAACTTGCTGGAGTCCTGTTATCATTACTATCTCGGTCCCCCATGTCTGTTGAAAGAGGATAATGACTGAGCCGGCTCCCCGTTAGCGGTGGGGGATGATCTGCTTGGCAGATGGACTCTGCTGTGAGCCCCGAGACACCTGAGCAGGCTCCTGCAGCCCAGCACCATCCAGAATGGCTGTCCTGCTGCAAAACCTAGGTGAGGCTGCTCAGCGTGGGCAGAGAGGCAGAAAAACCTTGTTTGCCTGGCACTGAGCCTAAGCTAACGGCCTCTGCCAAGCCTCAGGTGCAAAATACATCGAATTATCCATGTTTTTCTTCTGTGAGAGCCCCTCCCTCCCTCTGCCTGGGCAACAGAGATTTGACTGCTTTGTTTCACCCAGCTTTTGTCTGTCTGATCCCATTCTTTGGGGCAGGAGTGGCCTTCTGGCCAGTTTTGGTAGGGTGCATGGCAGAGCGGAGCTCCCCATCTTGCTCGTTGCCCATTGCTGCTATTGTCCTGCAAATAAGATCAGTAATTGCAATGCAGTTGTTGAACTGCACACAGGAACAAGTGCACTAGAGCTGGACGTAGCATCCCCATGCAGTGATATAAGGGTGTCATTAATAGTCTAGCTGAAGGGCAGCTTTACATTGTATTAGATATTTTAATTAGGGAACTGCTTCCCAGTTAGGATTGAAGCTAATTTGTTTCCACTGGGCTGTGCTTTAAATCATCCGGTAGCTTCCTCGGTAAGAAACTGATCTCCTTGAATTGCGCATGCCATAATTCAGCAGGGGTAGAGTTTCCTTGATAGGGAAGATCAATAAATGAGGTTTATCTAAAGCTGCAGCATGCTAAAGATGTGTCCAAGCACCGCAGTATTCACTCTTGGCCTCCTCCGCCTCCGGGTGACTCCACAGCATCCTGGCTACAAGTGCTTCGCACTGACTTTGGGTGGGTTGATCTTGCTGTGAAGAATTAGCTTTGGGAGGGAGAGTTTTAAGCAGGTAGCACATTGTTCATAGGTGCCGAAAAAGCAGCGTGAACGTGGTAAGTCGGGGAGGCGGTGGGGTGGGGGGGTCTGCATGCTCCACAGAGATACAGAAGTGAAAAAAACTGTTGCCTAATCAGAGACTCCATTTCCAGGCATCTGTTAGGCTGAGACCACAGTGTTTGTCTTGGTGAAATGCGTTTACGGTGAAAGAAGGATTTTCTCCTCCTTGGGAGGATTTTGGTGCGTGGCAGCGATGGCAATGCGACCCGTGGTGACGGACAGCAGCTGGCAGTGGGGACCAAGCTGCCCTCCCACCAAGGGCTGTGCAGTGGGGATGGGTCCTGCACCAACGCCCCGACAGTCAAAGTATGACTAAAATAATCACACCAAAATCCACAGAAAACATTTTGAGGTTTCTTGCTTTTTAACTATCCTGCTGACTTCAAAGGCCATTTAATTCTGTTATCCTTTTTAATCAAAACAACTGGAGACAGCAAAGCTGTTTATCTCCAAACGTTGCCAACATCTCTCTACATGTTTGGTGGCAGTTACAGGACAGAGAAAACACACTACAAGGAAATTTGCTTGCAGCAAAATTCACGTCCCTGTGGGAGCACGGAGAGAGCTTTTGAGGCACTTTAGATTGATTATAAAATGAGTGCAGGTAACAACCGCTTTGTCACCCTGAATGTTGATTTCCTCTCCCCTTGGCTGAGAGCCAGAGACACGTCTCTATTTTGGGATAACATTTTGTGCGTACAGGTGGTGGAAAAGGAGGGGGGGGGGTGTAGGAAAGAAAGCTTGTTAGGCTGAACAATAGCATTGGCCCTAGAACAAATAGTTCTGGCCACAAATAAATTTAGGTGGAGCAAGAAGGTTTCTAAAAAGTAAAGCAGTGAGCTTTTGATAAAGCGTCTGATAGGAAGGAGCCAGAAAAAAAAAAAACAAACCACACATCTTTTCAGATAGAGCTGCTTTAGTTTACATTAGGGATTTTGCAGTACGGCTGGTTGTGGACGAAGAGGACTGGTCTTTCCATATTGCTCTCCAGCATTCCTGTTGACCTGAGCTCTGCTTGTAAGCATGATCTTCACCTCGAGAAATCCCAGGCGTTCCCTTCTCCCTCCTCACCGGTGTGTTTCTTCTCCAAGCTGACAGCCCTTGTCATCTCTCTCACTGTTTCCCTACGGCCATCTTCTAATTTTATTCCCTCTTTTTTTGCAGCGGAATGAGCTGGATTTATACCATGGTATAGTAGTGTTTTCTGTGTTCTTTTGTATGCCTTTCCCCCCAGTTCCTGGCTGAAACATCCTAGTGACTGTGATACACATGGAATATACCTAAGGCAGGGGGTGTGCCCAGGCAGCAGCCTGGGTTAACCCAGCTGACACAGCCAGCATCACCAAATCAGCCTTGCAGCACATAAACACTTCTGCAGGTCTGGAACAGAAGCAGAAACCTTCGGAGTGAAGTATGAGTAATTCTGAGTTTAACAGGACTCTCTTATTCACCTAGAAACAAAGTCTACGTGATATGTGGGGAGCAGAGGAAAGGTGTTATTAAAGGGGAGAAGTCATCATGCCTTTCTTCGGCACTTATTTTCTCCTGAGAGCACTTGTTCCATGAACATGCATCTTTGGCCTCTGGGGCAGGGGGGTGCTTGGTGAGAGGCAAGGAGAGCAGACAGACCTCTGCCGTAGAACCAGTATTGTCACCATAGCCATGATTTTTTGTATCCAAAACAGTGAATTATAGTTTTGAGGTTCATCTGCTGAAGGTGTTTTGTAGGCTTTCCATGAGGAGCAGGACTGAAAGATGGTGGTTGCTTTGTAAGAGATCTCCCCCAGTAACTCAGGCTCTCTTTGATGTGTGCCGATCAGGGAGCACCGATCTGGTATTTTCAGAGTACTTCAGATCTTTTTTTTCTGAGTGGTTTTAACAAATTTACAGCTCATTAAAGTATACATATAGTTAGGGGGAGTTATGCCCATAGGCAGCTCTTGCCACATGTCAGTAGTGAATTTTGGTGCTCAGGCACTTTGAAGGGGGAGATCCTGCTGCAGATTCCTCTCAAGAAATGTTGACTGTCCTAAACGATCATCACCCACAAGCTCCATCTTCTCCGTACTCACTCCCTTTCCCAGATCACTTACGAGCATGTTGAAAAACACAGATCCTCAGGGAAATCCCTTGATAACCTCTTCCAATTATGAAAATTATTCATTTCTTGCTACCCTCTGTTTCCCATTGGTAACTATTCATGTAGAAGTTCCCTTCCTCTTTGCACCGCTACTGCTTCAATCCCAGAAAAGCCTTGGGTGAAGGACATTTCCAAAAGCCTATGAAAAACACAGCCTGTGCCAGGGACCAGGTCACCCCATCAGAGTGGTCACCTTCATTTTGAAAGAACTTGGCTAGCTATAAGGCAAGACTGTACTCCGCCAAAATCAGGTTGCCTTGGTCCCCAATATATCATGAGTTTGTTAATTATGGTCTTTATTATAATCTCTACCAGTGTCCCCAATACAAAAGCCAGATGTCCTGGTGCCTAAGTTCCCTGGGCCACCTCCTGAGCCCTTTAAAAATCTGCCCTTAAGGAGTCTGCCATTCCCTGAGGGCAGATTTGCCATTCCTTAAGCTGGGAGACAGATTTGAGCCACTGGTGGCACAGCCCGTGAACAGCCTGGCAGTTCCCTGCCTGAGTTTCATCTGTCCTCCAGGGCTGGCTGGTGTGCTGCCCATGAATTTATTGATCTGCTTAAAACCTCTCCGTGGCGCCAATATCTAATCTGTTACGGAGAGCAGAGTGTTACAGGGCAAAATTCATTAATGTTTGTAAAGCTCATCAAGATCTTTCATGAGCAAATCCCATCATGTTTTAATATATTTTTTAAATGTCACGAGTAAGTTCTCATTACTCATTGAAGGGCTGAAGCAAACAGCACTTGCCAGACCCAGATATTGGAACAGGCAAAGGCTGCAACTCTCTTTGTGTACCACTTTTAGGACACTTTCATTTCGGCTTAAACTCCCTGGCTTGATTCTTCTCCTGCAGATCAGAAGCCACCCCCTCAGCTCTCCCAAATGTGGGCTCAGGGATCCCCATGGACCCCTGGCCCTGGGCTTTTCAGAAGATGCCTGCTGGCTCCGTGGGACTCTGAAAGTTGCCGGTCCTGGTCACTGTTAGGATTGCGCTGGCAGCATGAGATGCCAGCATGAAGAACAGCAAAGGATGGATGAGTGCAGCCAGGTTTTGGATCACACAAACATGGGAAACCTTCCTAAAACCCTTTGCCTCCAGCCCCACATGGTGTTCTGTCCCCCTCCAATGGTGCTTGTACATTACTGCACACTTGCTGGTGGGTTTGGCAGATGCGTCCTGGGCTACTGGGACCAAAACCACGTGCACTTCTGTTCACGTGGCCTAAGTGGCATTTTTCCCCATGACCATGGATATGGTCTGGGTCTCTGCAAGAGCTTAACAATGAACTTGCATTTCCCCTTGTTTTTCCTGCCAGGATGTCTGGAGGAGACATGGCCAAACCCCTCCTGGGCCATGGGAGCATGGAGGGTGACCCCAGCATCATGCCTGCAACCGGCCACACCATTGGGGTGCTGGGGAGCGGGGACTTCGCACGGTCCTTGGCCATCCGCCTGGTGTGCTCCGGCTTCAAGGTGGTGGTCGGCAGCCGCAACCCAAAGCGCAAAGCTGGCCTCTTCCCTTCTGCAGCAGAAGTCACCTTCCAGGCTGATGCGGTGAAGAAGACGGATGTCATTTTTGTGGCAGTTTTCAGGGAACATTACTCCACCCTCTGTGACCTGGCTGATGTAATGGCGGGCAAGGTCCTGGTGGATGTTAGCAACAACACCGAGATCAACCATCACAAAGAATCCAACGCTGAGTACTTGGCTTCCCTGTTCCCAGCCTGCACTGTGGTCAAGGGGTTTAATGTGATTTCTGCGTGGACACTGCAGTCAGGTGCCAGGGATGGAAATAAGCAGGTATTGTTTTCTTCTGACAAAGGCCAAGTCCCAACTGTTTCAGAAGTTGGGGTCTGGCAGCATCAGCAAATGTCCTTAAGCTCCAGCAAAAGGGGTCTGAGTGCTGGCTGTGGCATCCAGAGACCACCCCATAGCTTCTGCATTTCTTTGCTCAGAAATGAAGTACCCCTACTTACTTCACGCTTTGTAGTCTTTGGAGCCTCTGCCTAAGTGAAAAGTATTATTTAATCGTCTGTTTATCTAAACACAGCCAGTAAAACAAACTGGTGGTGCACACATGAAAGGAAACTTGTCCAGGAGAGACATCTTTGGCAGCCATAGTAAATCCCCATCAGAAAGCTTGCCAGGAAGCTCAGGGGAATGATGTAGGCTTCCTTTAGCACAGCATCCCTCCCGACACACTCGTTCCCAGCAGCCTGATCTCTTTTTGCCCTGTGTGTATCTTTCTGTTCGTTGCAGGTTCTGATTTGCTCAAATAACCAAGAAGCCAAGCGCACTGTAGCAGAAATTGCTCAAGTCATGGGATTCACCCCTGTGGACATGGGCTGCATATCGTCAGCCTCTGAGATTGAGAATATACCCCTGCGCCTCTTGCCAGCCTGGAAAATCCCCATCTTTTTGGGTCTGGGGCTCTTTCTTTGCTTCTTCACTTACAACCTGATCCGGCAGGTCATCCACCCTTATATCAGGGAGCAGAAGAACAAGTTGTACAAGATCCCCATTGAGGTGGTCAACACAACGCTGCCGTGCGTTTCTTACGTCATGCTGTCTCTCGTCTACCTGCCCGGGGTGCTGGCAGCCTGCTTGCAGCTCTACTATGGCACCAAATACAGGCGCTTTCCAGATTGGCTCGACCAGTGGCTCCAGCACCGAAAGCAGATTGGTCTCCTCAGCTTCTTCTGTGCAGCTTTGCATGCCGTGTACAGCCTCTGTCTGCCCATGCGCCGCTCTCACCGCTACCAGTTAATCGAGATGGCCGTCAAGCAGGTAATGTGGGTTCTCTTCAGGTCAGCACCTGTAGCAGTCTTCAACACACATCCAGATGCTGGGTAGCAGGCTTAATATCTTGGCCTTTGCATTCACTTTCCAAAGCATGCGTGGGACAGTGGGAATAACACAGACAGTGTTACCTGTATGAGCACTTCTTCCATGAGGCAACCGCACATCACGTACCGGGCGTGCACCCATCCGCATTGAGGACCAGCCATCCTTAGCAGGGGGTTGCCCATGCATTTACAGCCAGGGCTAAGATCAAACTCCCCTGTGCTCCCTAGAAGCACAGACAAGCCTTTGAAAGCAGCCTTGCCCGGGACCTGACATGTCTGAGACTAGGGCAGAGGCAGGAAAAATGCTAGGAGAGGACAAATGTAGTGGTGGCAGGAGCAGAATTCCCCTCAACTTTTCTTTCTAGATTTCAGGAGATCACCATTTGCTCACACTGATGTTCGCAGTAGGTGCCTGCTGGAGTGACCAAGTCTTAAGCCCGGGGGGGTTTGTTGTGTAGGAGGTGTGTCCTCTTCACAGTGTGCCTCCGGGAGTTTAACAAAATGACGGTGAAGAACTGGTCATAGTCTAAGAGAATGAGGAAATAGGAAAGGGCTTTATTGCCTTATTGAGACTCTCGGCAGTGTTTATCCAGTGTGAGACTGCTACCTTCAGGCAATTCAGCCAGCTCTGTAACCCGGCACTGCCATGGGAAAATGTGATTCTGCTCTTCTCCTGCCCCTGGCTTCTGGCTGCTCCACCCCACTCCCTCCTGGGATGGCACAAGCTTTGTGCAGCTGAGCGGGGAACCTGATCAAGGAATTGCCCCGTAACCAGTCTGCTTTCTGTGCTGGGATGCCCGAGTGTTTCCAAATGCTTTTCCCAACAGAGAGAAGGGAAGGGGCCGTGGGGGCAGCAGGGAGCAGGATGGCTGCTTTCGGCAGTGGTGCCTGTTCAAAGCATCCATCAAACGACATCCCCAGCTTCTCGGCTCCAGCCTTGAGCAGGTCCTTCTCAATTGCCACAGTTGCACATTAATCTCAGGCAAGCATCCTGTGTGCATTTCCCCTCTACCTCCTGTTTTCTAGCAACATCTTTGTTTAGTAAATTAAACCCATTTAATGGGCTAAAGAGGATGGTTCTAAATGTTGCTCTTTGCCATGCAGCATAAAACCCATCTTCCCTTCCATTAGCATGAACAATTTCCCCCCTAAATGCACTTAAAACGAAGGTTATTAGGAGACTACTGCATATTCAAGCATCTGTATTTGTTTTCATGGCTTTAAACTGACTTCTTGTTCTAATTAGCTTTCCAAATGCAACTTTGGGGCTTGCTGCTGTGGTTATGGGCTGTGGGAGCTGAGAGCATTCAGCAGTTCTTTCCAAGCAGGCTTCAGAACTGGTCTAGCTTGGCCAAACAGTGGTGGGATAAAAGAGCATTTTCAAACCTCCCAAAATGCAGGGGCAAATAGCGCTGGAGGTGTGAATAGGACCCAGTGTTCATCCAGGAAACCTGCTTCCAAAACCAAAACGAATACAGATAAAATTCAGTTCCTCTATTCCTAAGTGCTCCGTTTTAACAAACCTTCGTTGTCATGCCAGGCTGCGGAGAAGAAGATGAATATCTGGGTAGAGGAGGAAGTCTGGAGGATGGAGATTTATATCTCTGTTGGAATAATTGCCCTGGGCTTGCTGTCGTTACTTGCCATCACTTCACTTCCATCCATCGCAAACTCTCTCAACTGGAGGGAATTCAGTTTCATTCAGGTAAAGTTGACATTTGCCAATGCCAGAGAGTGATTTTGCAGTCAGAGCCAGGCCCTCATGGAGACCACAGAGGGCAGAGGTTGACCTGCTGTCCCAGCACGTCCCTGCTCTGGCACGGCCACCACAAGCTGCACACTGGTGTCAGGGGCAAACCCTGCCACTCCACACCTCCCCGTGCACCCTGGAGCCATGGAACCCTGCGCAGGAGGTGACATGGAGCAGTGATGGCAGGGCAGTGGGATGTGGTGTGTCCTGGGGGGCCCATAACCCGTAACCTGCTCTCACGCAGGGCTCACCCGATCTGCAGAGGGTGCTGCTGTCTCAGGGGGAAGGGAAAATGTAGTGTGTCATGGGCTTCCATGTGAGGATTAGTGGCAGGCTTTGCAGGAGGGAGTCTTCAATGTCTTGGCTGAAGTTCTTTCTCACCCTGCATTTAGCAGCATTAGTTAGAGATCCTGAGAAAAAACAGCCTGGGCTTTGCCTGCGTGACCCCCCCTGCAAGAGTCCTCCTTCCCCTTTGTGCCCATGAGCAGCGCTGCCATTCACAGCTAAAAACCTCCTGAAGTCACACAGGGCAGAAAGGCAGAAAGCCTTGGGGTCATTTTGAGAGCTTAGTGTTGTTCCCTTCCGTGGGCAAAATGCCCCTTGGAGCCGGTCACGTGTCAGTCATGCACGACATGTTGGAGATGCTGCAGGGTCTTTGCACCAGGCTGGGGAGGGCAGGCAGGTAACCTGCCATGGAGGGAGCTGGCTGCGGGATGCAGATCTGCCCTGGCATTTCAGGAAGAGTGAGCTTCTGAAAAGACAACAGTTGGGAAAGCACCTGGGAGGACAGTGCAGGGGGAGGTCAGGTTTGGCAGAGCTTGCATGCACCCAAATATTCAATAGACAGGTTTGAAAAGACCTAGACTGGTCTATAAAAATGTCAGCGCTCAAGAAGCACAGAGAACTGGCTGTGGTTTCAATGAAAAGTCCATGTCTGATTCTAAAAGCTGAAGTAGGAGTGCAGGGGTAATTTTTCTTTCTCCAAAGTCATTCAGTGGTTTAGGAGCCTTCTTCCCACTTGCAGTGATATCCAAGCTCCCAAGGGACAAATTCCCATAGTGACCTGAGTCCACCACTTGGGACATTCACAAACCCCGGACTCGGGGGCTGCAGCACTCTCGGGGATGTGCTTGGAGCCAGGCTTAGGGCTAACTAATGGAGACAGCAAGGAATGAACGTTCAAGTATTTCCAGCACATTAGAGCTCAGTTTGAGGCCAAATTCCACTCACCATGTCACTGTTGTATCCCATAGTCCTAAAATCCTTCATCACTTGTGTCTCCTATGTCACTGCTGCTTAGCGTGTGCCAGGCTTGAAGTCCCGCTGCAGTGACCCGTGTGGCACCCCGACACGCGGGAGCCCCCGTGGGACCCCATCCCCCTGCATCTCCCCCGCGGAGCCTTCCCCGTGCATCACGCCTAACCCTTCAAAAGGGGAAGGCAGGGTTTGGGGATGCAGGGGTGAATATCTATCATCCAGCCTCTCCTGTTGAAGGTCTTCAGTGGCATATAAATAATTCAATATTCATCAGAGCAGGAGTTTGAAGCCTGCTCCCCCACTTCCCCCACAGGTACCCTGATCACCAAACGAGCAAGTCAGCTTGTCTTTTTTCCTCTCTTGCTGTGGGCTAGCGAGTAATTATTTACGCTGAGTAGAAGAGCCTCAGCAGGAGAGCTTGCCCCCAAGAGATCATCCCTCGGGGAGAAGGGAGACCTGGCTTTAAACCTCTCTTTCGGATCGGACAACAGGAGCATATTAATTCTTGCCACCATGTCTCAGGGGAGGGCTGCAGCCGCTGGGACGTTGGATAAATCAATCCTGGCTTAGGCATCTCATACCAGGAATCCCAAATGAAGGGAATTATCACCTTGCAGCCTGGAAGGAGGCTTTGAAATGCCTTGCATTTCCCTGTGGCTCCCCAGGCAGCCCGGCAGCTCTCCTGGAGGGTGCTGGCGGTGTGCCATGTAATATATACGCTGTCACAGCAGGCAGGGCTGCTGCCTCCTACCAGCGTATGTAACGCGACTGTCGCATCTGCCCTTTGGGACCCCTTCCTGCATCTTTCTAAGGGCATGTCAGCGCTGGGACAGGACACATACGTGATGCTGGGCTCCAAAATAGCTCTTGGCTGCCCCACATAGGAACTGGCTGGCTTAGTTCGTGGAAAGATCCACCTATTTCTGTCCGTGTGGGATAAAGCATGACAGTGCGACACAAGCTCCCAGCTGATCACATGCAGGAGAGGCATGGCTGGTATCGTGCCCTATCTTGGAAACATCATGTAAAAAGTGCAGGACAGATCTCTTAGCATATTAGCTTCTGTTTATTTTTTTTTAAATGAGGACTCTCTTAAATTATTTACTCTTCAATAAGCTGGTGATACCTTTCTTGAGCAAATTAAGGGCAGATACAGCTACTGCTCCCAGGCTCCAGAGATTAACATTTATGCCACTCAGTGTGATCCTCCCTGAATTAATGCACAGCGGCACAATGTAAATACAAAGGGTGAAGCTCGAGGCTGCTTACTTAAAGATTTGGGATATCTAGCACTTGGCCCTTTAACAGTGCATCAGAGGCATCGTGGCTTCCCGTGCCTGGGAAAAGTGAAAGATAGGGAAGATGGGGAGCGCAGCCGCCCCAGCCAGATGTCTCCCAGAAAATGCAGCAATTTATTGCCATCTCAGTTGAACTGGCTAGTGTGTTTGAGAGACACTCTACCAAAAGCCACATTTGAGAGAGGGCTGGGGCTTGTTACAAATCCAGGAGCCACTTCAGTCCCCTTCCTACCCAGAGCTTCCCAAGTCTGACATTTTCCAGCAGCAGTGTGTGCTCCTGTACTAGTGTCATGGGATACTGCCACATTCTTAAAATGCATATCTATTGCCTGATGGGCCAAAAATCCTGTTTGGCTTGTTGCTAAGGTTTTAGAAAAAACCCAGCTAATTTTTATCGTAGTTCCTGCACATACACAAATTTCAATTAAATATCGTTAAATTGGATACACAGCTCCCCTATATGTCCAGTTTTGTTTAACAGAAAATGTACAGGATCTAGACACTGGCTAACAGGAATGATTCATATGTAATTCAACTTATAGGAGACATTTTTAATGTTCCCCAGTGATTTACAAATCAACTCTAATTGGCTGAGAAGTAAAAATGTGTATGATTGCCTTCCCGCCCTGAGAAGTCCTCCTGGAATTTGAAGGTTGAATTGACCTGGTTTCTTTCTTAGCTCATGTATCACAAGATATAAAGAATCTGTCATCAGACCTTTTCTAACCCTCCTGTCGACGAAGCGCGAGCCAGAGCCGCTTCCACGGAGCTAATGACTTCATGGGACTGACGGCAGCAGAAGTCAGAAACGTATTTGGGTCAGGAAGGGGCCGTTGGCTTTGGATGCTGCCCAGACATTTCTAAATGAGCCACATGCGACTGAATCACCTTCGCTGGTGCATTACAGGGAGCCTCACAGACACCAAGAAGGTGGGGGAGATATAAGAGTTAATACAGAATAGAAAATATATGCAAAGCCTGCATTAGGAAGATACCATCGTTATACAGCCGTCTTTCAGAGGGTTTTAACACCACCTTACGTGGGTGGTGGTCCCATATTCCCCATGCTGTGACAGTGCAAAAGAAACCCCTGCCACTGTTTAAAACAAAAAAAAAAAAACCAAAAAAGTTTCATAGCCAGAAACTGCATTGAGAAGATAAATGAGAGCAGAGCTTCAAAACTCAGGGCTAAGCACACTGGCAAATCAGCCCCCATGGGGTGCTCAGTAGGCTCTGCATGGTAGTATGCTGAGTATATATTGAGCTGCATATACTGAGCCAAGCTGCCATCAGCAAAACTTTTGTTTTGTGCGCTTATAGATCAGCCCATACCCGGCTGACAGCTTGTCTGGTGAGTGCAGCCGTGGGACCCTGCTGACCACAGGACCTTCAGCCAGCTGATGGCATTGGGACGGCCCCGGCACCCTGCTCTGCCCCAGCACCCCGGCTGTCACCAGACAGGCTCTCGTCTGTGTTAGGAGGGGCTCAGCCCATTGCTGAGGAGCTGCCAGTGCCTGTTTCCAGCCACCACCAGCTTATCCACGTTTTTTGCCAATTAGCTTTTTTGTTTCATGTGCCCTGCCGTCTGCATGCAAAGGTGGGTCACTGAGCCCCTGTGATGGTTTGTCACCTTTTGTCCTACTAATTTCCATTCCTGCTCTCCCCCGGTACCAGCAGCAGTTGAAAGAGGAACAAACTAATTATCTCCAGCTCTGACATCTCTGCCGTGCGTAGAGCCCCGCTCGGGCTGACTCCAAAATCACCCTCTGCCCAGGGCAGAAAGCGTCTGCTGCCCTTGGACTTCACTCTGTCCCCTTTCCCCCTGCCCTGCTTTACATCTCTGCTCTGCCACGTGAGCCTCAAGCTGGTACTTCCAACCTTTTGCCACCCAGGGATTTTGTTGCCTGCTGGAGAGAAGATCAGGGTTGGTAAATGACGGATGAGCTATGGGTCAAGTCCTACTGTTAGGTTCAACTGTGATCATGGCATATTCCAGCAAACTCCTCCTTACTTTTCCAAGTGAAACCAATCTTGAGCCTGTTTGCGTTTGCTGCTTGTTACCACTTTGGCTTAGGAATCGGACGTGGCTTTTGGTAAGAACGATGGCTGTTCCTGGAAGAAAGGATGGATGCAGGGATACACACAGGACTGAGGTTCAGCTCACAGGTCTACTCCCGACTCCTGGCACCTTGAGTAGTGCTCAGCTGTAACACAGAGAGGAGGGTTCCCAAACTTGGCAGGGTGTTGTACGGGTGAAATCTTGACAGGACTCAGTGACACGCACATGACTGCCTGATAGGTGCTGTAAAAGTAAAGTACCTAGATCTGGTAGCATGTTTTAGAGCTCTCCTTCCCTCCCCTGCCCAGTCGTCTAGCTGCCTAAATGATTAGCTCTGAAGCTTAGAGGATCCTTGGTCTAGTTTGTTGGTAACAGCATGGTACATTTTAAAATGTTGTCTGGGTTTTTAAATAGTTTCCCAACAATCAAAAATAGGAAGGGATGCTTTGAATTGAGTAGTTTTCCAGCTGAGATTATTTTTTCAAGAGAAAATGATGAGTCCTTCCTCCTGTCTTGCCCTGGTCCCTTACTTCCCTGCTGTGTCCTCTTTCCTGGACATACCTTCAAGAAGACCGTGTTTCTTGTCCATCTCTGACTAGCTGCACCAAGCCAGATATCTTGACTGGTAAAGGCTTCCTTCCCTAAGTTAGGGACATCAGCAGCAAAATTTTCCCTGTCTAGGCATCTTGAAATTTGGTTGTAGGGCAGCAGAGCAATGTGCTACACCCACGCTTTTCTTTGGCAATACAGCAGCAAAGTCTTGTACTTGAGATGCCTCTGGAAGTGAGCGCCCGGCTCCCGCTGAGTGCTGGTGGGCAGCGGGAGCTGGCAAGCTTGGGAGCCACCACCTCGGATGCTGGCGGGAAACCACCGGTGAGGGGACCACAGTGTAAAACCCCTCTTGAGAGCAACCCTCAGAGGGAGCTGGAAATATTCAGCAAAATGTTGTCTCTGTGGGTGCTTGGGAGCCATGACCTCAGCTGAAAAGGGGGGAAGTTCTTGTCTGCAGAACAGGGGCTGGGTTCTTGCTTCCTCCCTGACTGGATAAAGGGCTCTTGACTCCCCATTTCAAGGACTTAGTCCATCATACAGCCTGACGGTCTGGCTCACGAACCAACACAGATCTCAGATCTCTAGGACAGAGAAGGAAACCCTTCAGGGCTGTGGCTCACCTCGGACCAGAGCACGTCTGTCTCCACAATCTCATTTTCCTGTAGATGACAGCAGTTACCTGAAGGTATCTTTGCTCTCTGTGAGGCTACGGCTTCACTGACTTCTGATGGTGCCAACTGCTGGTCCAGAGCCACGACGCTGATGCTTCGCCCTGCTGGTCAGCAGCCCCTCGCCAGCCACAGACCAGCAGGCAGCAGAGCTGGCAGCTGCGGCTGGGGAGGAGCATTTGTGAGCTGCCTGCGGTTATGTGCTCAGCAGGGGCTGGGGGCTGCTGCTTTGCACGGAGGCAGGAGCCCACCTCTCAGCTGAGTTGGCAGCATCTTCTGGGAAACTCCTGCAGCGTTTCTAATATCACACTTAACCTCTAATTAGAAAAAGAAAAATGCAGTCTGGCGCGCTACCCAGGAAAGGTTTCCAGTCGTGTTTTATTCTGTCCAAGAAACAGCAATACTCATATTGCTTTCTCTGTGCTATGTACACTTACAGGATAGAGTGAAAAAATATGGGAAAACAGACAGGCACGAGGTCCTCTGCTAACTGACGTGTGTTCCTCTTGCTTTTAGTCTACCCTTGGATTTATTGCCTTGGTAATCAGCACTCTGCACACACTCACGTATGGATGGTCGAGGGCCTTCGATGAGAACCAGTATAAATTCTACCTCCCTCCAACCTACACCCTCACGCTGCTCGTCCCATGTACTGTGATCCTAGCAAAAGTCATCTTCAATTTGCCCTGCATCCGGCAAAGACTTCTGCGAATCAGGAGAGGCTGGGAGAAGGGGAGATACGTGAAGTTTGTTCTGCCCAGTGCAACGGGGGAATATTCAAGCGGGGAGACCTCCAGCAATGTCTAACAGAGCCCCGGCTGTGACAGAGGATTTCAAAGCACTATCAACATTTCTATAAAGGTGTTTCTTTTTCTTAAATATATGTATGTTTTGGTATAATTGTATTGTGGGTAAATAATAAAATTTGGTAATTTTAGAAAACGGATGACCACGAAACTAGCTTAGACGGTAGTAGTTAAATTGTATTGCTGATTTGCTAGGACAATTATTGCCTTAAAAATGACCGTGAAAGCTGAGCTAGCAGCACTAATATACATGGGAAACTGATGGACTCTGTTAGTCAGATCAGTCACTTGAGGTGCTGGCTGGCAGCTCTCTGGACCAGTACTTCTCGGTTGCTTCCCTAGCTGCTCTCATAAATTTCAATGCCTTTTTTTTTTTTTAATATGAAGTAGCACAGATTTTCTGGTTTTTATGACAGCAAAGATATCCTGCCTCTTGAGTGTGTGGATCAATCAAGGCAGTGAGGTTTAGAAAGATGAACTGTCTCTGGTTTTGGTCTCCTCAATAACTCTATGGACAAGTAAGAACAGCAATATCCATCTTATGTAGTGTCTACAGATTTTACTAAAAGCATCCAAACCTGACAGCAAGACCAAGTATCTCTGTTCTCTCAAATACAGACAGCATTTCTGGTTCTGTAAGCTGTGCCTGGTGCATGTTTATAAGCTACGGAAATAAAGCACCTTTCCAGCATTTGAAGAGAGAAATGTCCCTAACATCACACATCTGGTCTGCACTGCTGGCTCTGAAATGACAGCTGCTGCTGCTGCTGCTGCATGTTCTCTGTTTTACTAAGCCAAAGTTTCAAGCATTATTTGATGGAAATAGAGCGAAGATAATTATCAGAAAGACCTGCTGCTTCACCAAATTACATGGAGAAAATGAAGGCCTTCCAGCTGGCCTTACATTTAATAGGGTGAAGCTTTTAGAAATCATTGTCACCTGAACATGCCCATTTATGCAGACAAAACAGCAGCTCTGAACCCATTGGTTTCACTAGCGATAATAAGATCTTCGAACGGTCTTGCAAAGGGATCAGCAAGTGTTGACCACAACATGAAAATACAGCAGTTGTACATTTTGGGTACAGTCCTTCATTGCCTTGCACCTTAAAAAGTCACTTGCTAGATCATAAAGCAGGTATCAAATGCTCTTCTGACTTCACACCCACTTCGGACAAGGTGCGAGGGAATGAAGATTTCTGTCCTCATTTCATTTTCCACCTGTCACTTTCTATCCCTTCAAGCTCTTGCTCTTTATCAGAATAATTCTTTAGGTTTTTGACATCGAAATCACCAAACAGACAACGGACAGCCATTCACAAAAGCTCATTTAAAGGCAAGCAATCGGGATGACAGAAGAAGACTACCTCAGTGAGGTCAGATACAAGGAGATGGCTAGAATGGCCTCATTTTCCTACAGTTAAGTAAAAAAAGCCACTCAGTGTTCAGTATTGCTTTGAAAAACAACAGCTGTCAACATCAAATGAGCTACAGTTTGTGGGACAAGAAAGTACTTGTTACTAGACCAGTTAATATAAATGGGGGGAAATGATCAACTTTGGGGCACATAAGCCCTTCTACAAGCCAACATTGCTTCTGTAACCTGGATGATTTCTACACAGAGACAGAATCTTAAGAATTCCCTGTTTAGCCTCAAATAACTACAGTGAGTAATATTCTCCAACTATTGCTCACGGTGCCAGTGATGATATTGAGGAATTTCAGTTCTTGCCTAAGGCTTACAGTAAAGTCTCCAAACGCCACTACTTTTCACTGAATAGAGAGAAGTTGGTACGAGGGAAATGCCTAGATTTCATAATCAGTTGATTTTTTTGGTTTGTGGGTTTTTTGGCAACACAGGGAAGGTACCATTCTTTCCCACTGTCCCCTTCAGAAAGCTGCGGTTATTCAGGTTTCCCTATCCACTGCCACAACCTAGCCCAGATCAGCATCTGATCAAATCACTCACCAAGCAGACTGATTAGCCAGCACTATTTATTTGTGGTTGAATGATAGCTTAAGTTTCTGCATGGACTTGAGACAGTTTCACCTGAATATAATTCCACCCACTCCAGTTTAACTCATCCTTGAGGGAAAACTGGATTCAGCAGCTTCTTTTAGTCTTCTCTTCGATTTCATCATCAAGCAAAGTCAACATAAAAGCACCAGTTTACACATTTTCTGGTTACAACATTGTATTCCAATGCTTCTTTTTCCTGCCTAAGCTTCTTTTCACATCTTTAGATCAGGCAAGACTACTGCCTGGTGGCAAAAAAAAAAGATTACGAGGCAGGGAAAGAACATTACACAGGCTTGCAGGCTTTGTCTTCTAGGGGAAAGGTGTGGTTTTATTGTGAGTTGCTGCAAGGTTAAAGACTCACTTTTCTGCCCAGCAGAAGTAAGGCTTGCACCTCGGCTTTGTTTACATGGCTTTCATGCCCACATACCCTTTCCCGTCGATGGCAAAAGGACAGTTTTCATGAGCAGAAGCACCCTGACCTACCTGAGGAGTTGGATCCATTAGTGAGTCAGCACGGTGCTTTTCAGATGGACACAAGCCCAGATGGACAGACGAGCCAGCTCAAAATCCCCACAGCTACCGCAGCTCCACAGCATCTAAAAAAAGGCTGGTCAAGTGTTTCCAGCTAATGGCTGTGCCAACACACTGTCCAGGCAGTCACCATCCCTTTTAAAGACTGAAACCAATTCCTATAAATGCAGAACAGCATTTCAGATGGTGCCCCTGTAGGTGTCTGGCCCTTAAAACCTTTGACACAACAGTTGGAGTAATTTCTTCTGATTCTGGAATGCTGAAAAGTAGTTTGAGGAATTTTTCAATTATCTTTTCCCTATGAATTTTTTGATGTGGATAGGAGGTTTAGTTAGGTTAGCTTAAAATTTACCAATTAACTGGTTTTGTACTTGAAGTTTCTCTCTCTCTGTATATATTTACACACACACATATATATATTATTGCAGAATATATAGCTGGAATGTAAATTCTTTATATTTTTATTTCCTGTATTGCCTACTATGTGCCTCTGGGATATGTAAGAACCAACTGAAAAGCTGTAAGAATAAGGCCAGTTTTAATCACTGGCATCTGTAGTTATATAAAAGATATTCTGAACAGGTCTATATAATTATATCAGAACTTGTTTGAGTCTTTTTTTCCCTCCTCCCCCTGAACAATACCATTACTTTAATGGCAGTAGTAGAGTAGTGTGATTATCTAGAATTTAACCACTAGGAAATAAAACCCACTACAGCCAGCAGCTGGGAGAATCTCGTGATCAAGGTAGTAAGTGAAAATGAGCATTGTTGTGACCCATGGTGCCAGGGCCTCAATTAGGGAGTTGCTATGCACGTGGGAGGGCACAAGTGTGCACAGACATACATTTCATTGTAAGAGGCTAGTGTTATTGCACAGCACTTGTTGCAGAGGATCAAACAAGCTTAATTCACTAAACAAAAAGTGCTGTTGATACAGAGTTCAAGGAAGAGGGTGTTCCAGATGAGGGTTTATGGGACTGGAAAGAAAAAGGGAGTTTTAATACTATCAATTTGTTCTCCGTTTCTTAAGTCACTTCTTCATAGAAGTGGCATGCCAGATCAACCAACTTCTGGATCTGCAGCATTGCATTTTAATGAGCTAATTTGTAAGTTGATTTTAATGAGTTCATTTAAATTCCTGTGCTGAAGATTAACCTCTGCAGGTACAGTTCTCTCACTCCTGTTTTACAATACAAGGCTTTTAACAGTGCAATTGGTTTCTTGCTCTTCAGGGATTTACTTACAAAGTGATATATCAAACTACAGTTAAATCTTTAGGGGGATGCACTTGATTCAGTACCTCTCTGCAATATATTTCCTCCGGTCTCCAAAATGGCCAGCACAGCTGCGTCACCTGCTACAATCAGCAGCAAAAGTCTGGTGTTACCCTTGAGCTCAAACTTTCACACACAGAGCTAGTGGGATCTGCAGACTGTGCCTCAGGTTTGAGGAAAGAGATTTGTTATGCTAGGACAGTTTTATCTGTTTATTGTGCCTTAATAAGCAGCATCAGTTTTGCACAACTTCTGCACAAGGTTTTTTAGTGCAAGTCAGAACCATGCTTATTTTAAAGTTGAGCATGCAATACATAGCAGGAAGATACTGTCTCTGCTTAGGGACAGTTCTTGTTAGCAGAGCATGTGCAGGACTTTCATAATCAAAGACTAAAAATAACTGTTGTGTGTGGCAAGTCAAGAGGATCACACATTACAAGCCATAGTATTACAGGAATCTTTCCAATTTAAAGCAGCACTACAGCAGTCCTCCTAGAAAGATAATCTGCTTTAGATTTAGAGACCTCAGCAGTGGAGGATCCACTACAGCTGCTGTTCAGCTGGTTAGTTACTCTTGTTATCTGTTTCCCATATCTGATCTGCAATTAGCTAGCTTCAGCTGCTGCTGCAGCATGCCAGCCTGCTGGCTTAAAGAGCTATCAACAATCAGATATCTGTGTTGAAGCAGCTGTCTCATTCAGCGCTCTAGAAAACAAAGTTACTGTGCAGGATTCAAGTCTTTTTCTGCAAAAACAGGTTTATTTGATTTGGGAGGGATGGGGCAGGGGAGTAGTGTGAAGAAATGGCCATGGCTAGGATATAAGGCTTCCATTTCTAAATTGCTGCTTTGACTCTAAAACCACATGATGTCCTCCAGTTGGATGGACGCAAATACATGCATAGAGCCAAAGGTCTGATTTCAAAGTAGTGTGAAAACCAAACCGATACCACACCTCCCATTTTAAAAATCTCAGTTCACTGAAGAAAAGCTCTCTATCCCATCCTCTCCCTCACTGCATCACCAGCCCAAACGCCCACCTCAGGTCCCAGCTATCTGCCAGGCATGCCACGCTTTGAGACAAGGTCCTGGTCCCCAGCAAAGCAGAACTGGGTGCTGTGCAGAAGGAAGAGAAGAGAGAATAACACCTCCCAAACAACCTGCCCCACCGTGCTGGCTGCATCCCTGCACACAGCAGTCTTCCTCTGCAGACAGCACAAGACTACACAGC